AAAAAATGCTGTGTAAAGTCGAAATTTGTATGCTCTCACTCCTAGGATTGTTCTATGCCGAAAAAAAGTATACCCTTATTTTTTTATTTTTAAATAAAAAATACTTAGCGGTCACTCAAAGCGCCCAAAGTTTTCCATGTGTTTTATATGGGGAAAAAACAACTTTTATTAGAAATGGTATAGAATATTTAAAAATTAGTATTTTTCTATCAGAAAACTCTGTTTATCTATAGGAGACTCCCAACAATAATACCCCATTGTTTATTTAAGCATTTTTTCATCGCAACTAAAGTTCATAGGTCCGCCAAAAAACCCACAAAAACCCCGAAAAATGTAATGGGGCGACCAATAAAATATCGTTTGTATTAAAGAATTGTTAAATAAACAATTGGGTATTATTATTGAAAGTCTTCTGAAGAGAACCAGAGTTGATTTTCAAGAATTCTATACCATTTCTACGAAAAGTTTTATTTTTCCCTTATAGAAATACATGGAAAACTATGAGCGCTTTGAGCGACCGCTAAATATTTTTTTATTTCAAAAACTGTATCCAAATGTATCCACCGAAAAGAGCGGACATTTTTACACAGTACATCTATGGAAGAGAAACTCGGCCCCTTAACAAACTTATTAACACGTAGTCAGTATTTTCCCATCCTTAGATAGTTAGTCAAAATTAAGTCGACTCTTAAAGTTAATTGCAGCTTTTTGACATAATTTTCAATGGGATACCTGTGAAAAAAGCTGCAACTAAATTTAGTGTCGACTTGATTTTGACTATAACTAGAGGACTTTGTTTCCCAGATCTGTTTCTAAGAATGGGAAAAATACTGACTACAACGACGAGCCAAAGTTTCCGCATGTTCGATGTTTATTACTGCGATTAGATTCCCACAAATAATACATGCAAAAAATGTTTCCTAGTATATCAAAGTAATACTAATTGAAACTAATTTTGACCTGTTACATTTAGTTCAGTAAATTGTTATTTCCTGCTGTTATGGTTACAATTTTTTTCAATCAAACTGGTGGATTGGGAGCTATCTATGAAATTAAATAATTTCTCACAAACTTGTATTTGTCTGTAAATTCCGCCATCTTGTTTGAATTCGCGCTTAACGAGATATAACTGAAAATTTACAAGTTATAAGTTATTTTTAGTAAAGTCAAGTTATTCANGGAGCTATCTATGAAATTAAATAATTTCTCACAAACTTGTATTTGTCTGTAAATTCCGCCATCTTGTTTGAATTCGCGCTTAACGAGATATAACTGAAAATTTACAAGTTATTAGTTATTTTTACTACAGTCAAGTTATTGTTGAAAATTAGTCATCGGCGTGGTTGTCAATTTCCTTTAAATGCTAAGAGAAGGGTTGCTCGGGATGTAATAGTTGATTTTTTCGCATTATAGTTTACTACAGGTTGGACAACTTTTTTTTTTTTTTTTTCTATGTAGCTAAAAAATTAATTTTTCAAAGTCACAACAACAAAGAAAAAAAATATCTTGCTTGGAGGATGAGCAGCCAACTGTTGGAAATGTTGTAATAGCTTGTGCATAAATAAAAAAAAAAAATTCTTCGNTGGTTGTCAATTTCCTTTGAATGCTAAGAGAAGGGTTGCTCAGGATGTAATAGTTGATTTTTTCGCATTACAGTTAGCTACTACAGGTCGGAAAACTTAAAATTTGCAAACTCCTTGGTATTATTATATGCACGTTTATGAAGCTAAAAAATTAATTTTTCAAAGTGACAACAACAAAGGAAAATATCTTGCTTGGAGGAGATGAGCAGCCAACTGTTGGAAATGTTGTGATAGCTTGTGCATAAATAAAAAAAAAATTTCTTCAACTTACGATACTTATTGGAAAAGGTATCCAAATTTACACTGAGGAAAAAAACGAAGTATCCCTCAAAATTTAAGGCGAAAATGTATCCAATTGGATGCATATGTATCAAAACGGGAACATTGGTTTTGGATAGCAAGAGATGTTATCCTGGATATCTCAAACAAAAAAACCTTTAGAAAGTTGAAATAGCTCTGTACGCGTGCATGGTGTGGAGCATCACCGGTAAGAAATAGATTATGTGGAAATATACGTAAGTACATATGCATATTTAATACGTAAGAGACAAGCATATAAATTACGTTATTTTTTATCTTATATACATATAATAAATACTTATTTTGGCAAAAGGTATAATACATGTTATGTACATTTCGTCACCTGAAATGCAAAAAAAAACGTAACAAACATCATCGTTGAATTGCAAAATGTCGNTTTCGTCACCTGAAATGCAAAAAAAAACGTAACAAACATCATCGTTGAATCGCAAAAAGTCATAACTAATAAAAAAATCTAAATTCACTTTTGGATTTATATTGATTTCATCGATTACAACTCCCCACATAATTGTATTTAAAAAAAAAAAAAATAGTCACGACTTTTTTCATTTCATTTACGATGTTGTTACGTCTTTTTGCATTTCTGGTGACGATATACATATGTATGCAGTGACAAATGCAATTAATAATACGTAAATACAGTGCTATCTTCGGCTATGCCCACGACTTCATACCTTTCATGAATATCGGAAAATTCGCTTTAGCATTTTAAATCAGTTGTTTGGGAGCTACACATTATACTACTACAGTGCAGACCAGTTGAATAGCCCCCTCCCCCCTTTTGAACCTCAGTTTTTCTATTGTTTATAAAACACCGTGCGACAAAACCCGAAAAATTTCAAAACACACGAAAAAGTCAATATACATACTCACGACACTAGGCGCCTAATGTAGCAAAACTGCAGGTTTTTTTTAAGGACTTTATGATTTCAAAGATATGATAAATTTAAAAAAAATCATTGTAGAATAACAATAGGGGTACCAAATGAAACACAATTTTTTAAATAAAAAATAATAATAATATAATAATTTTTTTGGTTCACAAGGACGAATAGGGATTAA